GTTGGCTCAGGATTGGGCAGTGTTTCATTCTGCTGTGCATAAGGCCACTATGGGTCGGTACCGACTCAATGGCATCTAACAACAAACAACAACAGGTTCCACATAAGTACAATGAAACATTCTGCAATTCCCATTCTTTGTAATGTTATCCATAAATTAAAAAAAAAAAAGTTTTTATTGTGAATTGTGTGATATTTTACATGGGAGAACACTGGTTTTACACTCATTGTTTCATTGCAATGATTACAATCTCTTCCATGCATCATCATTCAACGGTATTTGTTTCTATTTCCCTGTTTATTTTTTGGTGGTGGTGGGGAGATGTACACCAAAACACTAATGAATATATAATAATTTTAACAACCAAAGGGCACATTCTGCAAGCCCGCCTCCTGGTCACCAGCACACAGCCTTTCTCTATCCATGAATCTAGAGTCGTCAGCTGCTCTATCTCTCCATGTCCTTATCTCTACCTCCATCTCTGGTGTCGCTGCTTCTCTGGATAGAGTCCCACATTCTGCTCTTCTCCCTTGATGGTCCTAGGTTCCTCTGTTCCCTGACTGTAAGATTAACTACACCTCTATTTTTGTTACACAACTTCTATCTTTACAGTTGTGACAGTCACAATTAGTTATAACAATTACTCACTGTTGAATCCTGAGAATCTTATCCCCATCTCCTTTCACCAGACCCATCCAGACAAGATGCAAACTATTCAGTGGGGATACCTTCCCCTGCACACTCTGAAACTAAACTCCTTGAAAACCTATAAGTCAGTTTCTTCATGCCTTCATAGCCGCTCCTCCATTTTAGTTAGCTAAAGTTTAAGATGGGATTGATATTTGATGTGAAGACGCCTTCCTTCTCAGCTGGTATTTTGAGTTACTACATCCTTAAGTATAGGTCACGTCCATCAAATTGTAGCAATTTTCACATTTCCTTTATACAAAAAAAAAAAAAAAAAATCTTCCTCTAGTCGAGTTATGATTATCAAGCCATCGAAGGTAGGTAGAATGGTTACTATCTACAAGTTTGGGTGTTCTTGTGCATCTCCCCTCACTTCATATCAGCTGGACGCTTCACTCTCAGCTCCAGCCCTCCCATGGCTCTTGTCCATGAGCTCAGGAGTCCTTAGGTCTCACCATACTTTTGACCAATCAGCACTTCCTCCTCTTTCTCTCATCTCCAGGTTGACGGGATTCTATGGTACGTGGTCGAACTCAGCCCATATCTTCATTGCTGCCTTTCCCCCTCTTCCACTCACCAGGAGACCAATATGGTCCCCAGCAAGCTTGTATGCCTTATCCATAATTTTTTATGATACACACAGTCAAATGCCTTTGCACAGTCAATAAAATCTTGTAATCATCTTTCTGGTATTCTCTGCTTTTACCCAAGATCCATCTGACATTAGCAGTGATTTTCCTCATTCCACAGCCTCTTTTGAATCCAACTTGAATTTCTGGCATTTCTTTGTTGATATACTGCTGCAACTGTTTTTTGAAGTATCTTCAGCAAAATTTTACTTATGTGTGATGTTAATGATATTGTTTAACCCTTTCTGTATTCTGTTGGATCACCTTTCTTTGAAATGTGCACAAATTTCAGATAAAAAAGATTTTAAACAAGTTCGTGGATCATAGATGGGGAAGAGGGAGGCCAGGCTACATAAAGATGGTCCAGGAGTAGAAGCTCAGAAGAGACAGAGACTTTCCTCCAGAGTTAACAGAGAAATAAAGCCTTCTCCTGGAGCTAGTACCAAGAATTCATAATTCTAGCCTCGGACCTGGGATGAAACAAATTGTTTGTTAAAGCCACCGATTTGTGGGATTTCTATAACAGAAAAAAATTGATAACTAAGAGAGAATTTTGTACCGGAAGAGTAGGGTACTACTTAATGTATACATAAAATTTGGTAGTGGTTTTGGAATTGGGTAATGGGTAGAGGCTGGAAGTGTTTTAATGTGCTTTATAATAAAAAAGCCTACTTTGCCTTGAGACTGTTAGTAGAATTATGGACATCAAAGGCAAGTCTAGTGAGAGCTCAGAAGGAAGTGAGGAGAAAGTTCCTATCATCTTGTAGAGAATCTCAGAGAATACATATGTCACCAATAACAGAATATTGTTAGAAATGTGGACATTAAATGTGCATCTGGTGATGCTTTAAAATCAAATGATGAACTTGTGATCGGACAGTGGAGGAAGGATGATACTTTTTATGCAATGCTAGGAAGTTGTCTGAATTATGTTAGACATTTGGTAAACTTAGAAATTCGAAATGATAAATTTGAGTATCTGGCTGATGAGATTTCCAAGCAAGATCTTAAAGGGGCCATGTGAGTTCTTCTTATATCTTATAGTGAAACGTGAGTGGAAAGTGATGACTTAAAAACAAACTGCAAATTGAGATTTGGAAAATTCCATTGTACAAACTAAGGACATGAATGTTAACCAAAGATGTGGCTACATAATCTTTTGTTAAAGAGATTAAGTCTAGGACCCTAGGACCATCAAGAGGGGAGAGCATGAGTGAAGCGTGGGATCCTAACCAGAGAAGCAGCAACACCAGAGACATAGGCAGAGATAGAGCAGCTGAGGACTCTAGACTCACGGAAAGAGAAAGGTTGTGTGCCTGTGGACAGGAGTATGGCTTCAAACTGTGCCCTTTGGTGGTTTAAACAATTATGTTTTCCTGTGTGTTTTGTGTACATCAAAAACAAAACAAAATAAATCTGGAATAGAGGCAAATACTGTTAACCGATGGTGCATGGAGGGAATTGTAATCATTGCAATAAAACAAAATATGATTGGTTGGGTGGAAAATCAATGTTCTGCCATGTAAAATATCACTCAATTCACAATAAAAACTTTTTTAAAAAAGAGAATCAGCCTGTGGCTGATGGATAAAATCAACGACCATAGCAGAAAACCCATCAATTTAGACTGAAGGGGACAAAGAAAAAAAATGAAAGGAAAAAAACGTGGTCTGTCTCTTGAAATTTTACAGGTAGAAGTTATATCTGTTGTTCTAAAAAAAAAAAAAAAAAACAAAAAAAAGAAGACGACAAAAGAAAAACACCATCCCTGTAGCAGCCCAGAGATCAGTAAAACTGTTAAAATGAGCACTGGGAGCAGGGCCTTCTAGGTTTCAAAGTGTGTGGCCACAGTTTGCTATAGGAGCTGTGATAGCGTAGTGGTTACGAATTGGGCTGTGAACCGCAAGGTCAGCAGTTTGAAAGTACCAGATGGTCTGCGTGAGAAAGATGAGGTTTTCTGCTCCTGTAAAGATTTACAGCCTCAAAAACCCTGTTCAGGGTTGCTATGAGTCAGAACCAACTCCACGGCACATAACCTCCACCACCACCACCACAGTTAACTGGATCTCAAAGGGTGGGTCCACAACCTAATAGGTTTCAAAAGAGTCAGAGCTTCTCCAAGTCTGTTCCAGAGTGTAGGCTTCATGTAGGTGTGCAATATTGAAGGATTTCAGCTCAAAGCTGGGAGGCGGGCCGTTTCCATTCCCAAAGGGCAGCAGAACAGGGCCTGCCAGGGCTAAGGGGGTGGGGTCACCACTGAGATGGACTAAGAGAATAGGGTTGGCTAAAGCTGAGGAGCAGCTCAAAAGGGATAAGCACCTTCTTCCAGAGTCCACAAAGTCTTTCCCTAGAGTTGCCTTCCTGAATTCAGACTCCTGAAAAATTAGTTTGTTAAAGCCATTCACTTATGGGATTGCTCTTATGGTAGTATTAGATAGTTAAGACAGAGGTTTTTGCAAATAAATGAAGCAATATGTAAATGCTCAAGACCAGTCATTTAACATAGTTAAGCACACTTAGTTCCTGAGATGAAAGATTCCATATAAGCATGTATAATTAATTTTTACAAATGGCAATAGGACCTTTGCCTTTCTCCAAGGAGCTCAGAATACTTGCCAGGCATTATCTAATTAAACTACTCAATGTACCTGTGAAATGCATTTGAATCCACATTTTCAAGATGTGGGCACTGAAGCACAAGTGGGCTTAAACTAAACTTATTTAGCATGCCAATGGCGAAATTGGATATAAAATGTTCAGCTTCATGATCTAGCTGCCAATCTTCAACCGTGGCCCCTTCTAATCTACTCTGTCATAGCTTTTGGGTGCAAAGTAATTCCAATTATAAGGAAGTTAGATTAAAAAAAAACATATTGTTCATAATACTAGTTGCATTTATAGGTGAGTGTGACTTAGTGTCATTTCATGTCTATAATGGACTTGGTAAGAATGGGAATAGTTAGTCAAAATCTATTGGAATATATGCTTGTAGGGAGTTAGCAGTAAAAAACAAGAGTGTCTATGGGAATATCTTCCATACTCTCATTTTTGCCTTCTTATTCTAAGCTATAATAACACTACCATTAATGAGTGCCATGTGGTAAACCCATTATATGAGTTATCATCTTCAATCCTTGCTACTACCCCATGAAACACATATTATTACCATGATGGACATATTATGAATGAGGCAGAGACAAGTTATGTAATTTATCCAAGACTACACAACTAGCAACTGGTAGAGTTAGGATATACCATATTTTGGTGGAAATAACACATGCATTATACAGTTTTTGCAAACTGACCCCCTTATGCATTGGTTTCCTATGTATATGTGCCATTTATGTGTGCATGTTATATGCAAAACTATGACACACCTAGACCTTTCAAGCCCCAAACCTCTTCATTATGCTATCTCCTATGTATCATATTTCTTTTAGTTCCTGTCTAGTATTAGGCACTGTACTCTGTAGGTACATCTCTTTTGTCCCTATACCTAACCCAAGGTCCCTGAACATACCTTCAGTTCAGGACATCATCATCTTGGTCAGCTTGGAGGCATAAGACAGAAATAATTTACAAATTGCTTATAAGAAATGTATTTATGTCTCATAATCTGTAGTTTTTGATATTGTCTTTTACTAGCAAGTTTCTGCCACTGTGTCCCTGTTTTGTGGATTTCAGTAATCATCATGTGTATACATTCAGCCTTGATTAGGGAAGAGACTCTGAGGCATCTTTTGGAATGGGCTCATGATCATGAAAATGATCGATGGAACCTGTATATTTGTTCCCTATGATGCCCTACTCTACAGTTCACCTTATAAGCACACCCCCTACCAGATCCTGAGGAACATTCCAAAGCTCTGGGAGGCCTAGGATGCTGTGTTGACCACTACAGTGGAGCCTCATGAAAAGACCTTCTATCAAGCCTACATAGAGGCAGCTACAGAAGGTGAAATTCCCAAGCAGCTGGAAGAAGATCAACTAAATTTACTTGAGTTGTTGTTGTTAAGTGCCTTTGAATTAGTTCCAACCCATAGTGACCCTGTATAGGGTTTCTGAGGAGTGGTTTGTGAGTTTGAACTGCCAAACTTGTGGTTCAAACCAGCCTTGTGTAAGGGGCCTCCAGGGTTGGTTAATTTAGCAGCTCAATTATGTCATCAACAAATAATTTCTCTTAATTTTTCCTCTTTGCAAATCATAGCTTGCTAGCTTGCCCTAGTGAGCTGGTTCTCATGGTCCCAAAATGGCTGCCACAGTTCCAGACATCTTAAAAAGGCAAAGATAGGGAATGTTCCTTTCTCTTTCCCCTTTTACGAATGAGGAAGTCTTTCTCCAAAACTTCCTAAACAGACCCCACCCCTCTAAACTTCTTAGCTATAATTGTGTCAGTTATTCATGCCTAAACCAATAATTTGGAAAGAGAAATGAGAGCACTATAATTGATGCTAGCTGTTGGAAAAGTCTGAACAAATTTGGGATTATGTTAGCAAGAAAGAAGACTTTCAGGTAGGCTGCTAGTACTCACACTCTACATGATATTCTCCTTTATTTATTTACTCAGTGCTCTGCTTCTCTCTCTGAATAAGTAGTTCAGATGCAGCTTAGGTTTACTTATCTTTTTATGTCTTGAGAATTAATAGCAAAAATTTTTTGATTTTTTTTTTAAATAAAAAGAGTGACTAGCAGAGCTATTCAGAGTGCCTAATTTGAACTTTATTACCACTGATATGAGCATATGTTTATAATAAACATCTCTCTCTTTTAGGGGACACACAGGCATACATAAAACAACAGTCAATATAGATATGAATTGAAACAATCCCTCAAATTTCTAATAATGGTTGGTCAAATCAGTTATTTAGTGTTGTGTATTTAAATGATGAATTTTTGTACTTTTTAGCCAATAGTATGACACCAGATAGATACACTCTAAGTTACTTTTTAACTTTATTAACAGGATTGAGGAAATAATAAAGGTGTGTGCATATTGTACATACAGAAGAACAAATATAGTGGTAAAAATGCAGACCTTTTACTCTTTGATTCCATCTCTGAGCTTGTGGAAAACATAAATTAATTTAGGCAAAAAACACGTCATTAGTTCAGTTGCTAGGCAGCATGTACTCTCCTTTAAACAAGGAAATACAGCTAAAATGAGGACTCAAGAGCTTATAAAAAAAACACTGTTTACATGCATTTCTGGCCCTGCTTTACAGGTGCCTATGGGAGACCTTCATAACCAAAGTGTGATTGGGGTGAGACAGTTATCTTCACATCTCCAACAAACAACTCTCCCCACCCCACCCCCATTTTTCCTAAATTACCTTGCTAGAAGGAATTTTTGAAGGTACCTGATGTGGTGGTGGTGGTGTGCTGTTTAGTCATTTCTGACTCGTAGCAACCCTGCATAGGGTTTTCCAGGCTGTAAATGCTTATGGGAGCTGAAAGCCTCATCTTTCTCCCCAAAGCGGCTCGTGGATTTGAACTACTGACTTTGCTGTTAGTAGCCCAATGCATAACCCAGTACACTCCCTGGCACCTGATGTAGCAGACACAAACTTAGGTTTACACCTCAGCTCTGGCTCATATTAGCTGTGTGAACTTGGGCAAGTTACTTAGATTTTTTGTGTCTCAGTTTTCTCACCTGTAAGATATAGGTGGTTGTTGCTATGTGTCATTGAGTTGGTTCCTACTCATAGTCACCCTGTAAAGGATTTCCAAAGAGCAACTTGTGGGTTTGAACCATAAACCTTATGGTAAGCAGTCCAGTGCTTTTCCTACAGCATCACGTCAGGACTCCGTAAAATAGTTTGTTGTTGGTGGCTGTGTGCTGTGGAGTCGGTTCCGACTCATAGCGACCCTGTACAGGGTTTCCGAGGCTGTAAATCTTTATGGGAGCAGAATGCCTCATCTTTCTCCCATGGATCAGCTGGTAGTTTCGAACTGCTGACCTTGTGGTTTGCATCCTCTATTTTAGGATTATGGTGGTTATATGCCACAGAGCAGGTTCTGATTCTGCAGAGGTTTTTTTCCAGGCTATGAATCTTTTTTAAAAAAAGGTTTTTATTGTGAATTGAGTGAAAGTTTACAGTGCAGAGCATCAGTTTTACATTCAACAAATCATATTCTTTGTTTCATTACAATGATTATAATCCCCTCCATGTACCATCAGTTAACCGTATTTCTTGCTATTCATTTTAGCTCTTTTTTTTTTTTTTTTTTAAAGCACTCAGGCATATATAATAATTGACACCACCAAAGGGCACATTCTGCAAGTCTGCCATTGGCCACCAGCTCTCAGTCCCTCTCTTTCCATGAATCTAGAGTCTCAAGGCTATAAATCTTTACATGAGCAGAAAACCTCATCTTTCTCCCTCAGAGTATCTGGCACTAGAACTGCTGGCCTTGCAGTTAGCAGCCCGATGCATAATCCATTACATCACCAGGGATCCTTGCCATTATAGTGAAGAGTTTTGATGTCATTGTTAAGTGCCATTGAGTTGCTTCTGACTCATAGTGACCCTGATAGGATTTCCAAAGAGCATCTGGTCTGTTTGAATCACTGACCTTGCAGTTAGTAGTCCAGTGCTTATCCTACAGTGTCACACCAGGACTCCATATAGAGTGAAGATTAAACAAGGCAAAATGTGTAAGGTGACTGGCAGAGGAACCCTGATGGTATAGTGGGTTAAGTGTAGAGCTGCCAACCGCAGAGTCACCATTCAAGCCCAGCAGCCGCTTCTCAGGAGAAAGATGAAGTGAGCTGCTCCTGTAAAGATCTACAGTCTTGAAAAGCCTATGGAGCAGTTCTACTCTGTCCTATAAAGTTGTTATGAGTTGGAATCAACCCAATGGCAGTAAGTTTGGTTTGGGTTTTGTGGTAGAGTACCTTGGGACCAAGATAATCTTATTAGTGATATCATATAGTGGTGGTGGTGGTGTGTCGTGGAGTTGGTTCCGACTCATAGCAACCCTGCATAGGGTGTCCAAGGCTGTAAATCTTTATGAGAGCAGAGAGCCTCATCTTTCTCCCATGGAATGGCTGGTAATTTTGAACTGCTGGCCTTGAGGCTGGCAGTCTGACTCATAACCACTATGCTACTAGAGTTCCTTGTGATATCATATGTTGTTGTTGTTGTTATGTGCCGTGGAGTCGATTCCGACTCATAGCGACCCTGTACAGGGTTTCTAAGGCTGTAAATCTTTACGGGAGCAGAAAGCCTCATCTTTCTCCAGCGGAACAGCTGGTAGTTTTGAACTGCTGACCCTGAGGTTTGCAGCCCGATTCATAACCACTACGCTACCAGAGATCCATGTGATATCATATAGGCAACTCAAAATCAGGCATGCTGGATTGCAACAAATGCTACAATTCAGAGTTGTTGGTTCCCCCTCCCCTCCCACCACCATAGAGAAGTTATCAAACATTTACTAGCACATCACTTGTTTCTGCCCTTACGGAGCTTAAATTCTAGTGGGAGAGACATTAAATGAGTAAACAAAAGCATTAACAAGATGGCTGTGTTTCTCCCTTGCCCAATAACTTTCACTGAAAGACTCTCTCTGCGGTTTGCAATCTCTTTTAACTTATGCCCATGCTTCTTTGAAAAGTAACAAAGAAAGAAAAATACTATCAAAATGATGAATGCACATCGTTTTAAAAAATTAAGATATGCTAAAATCAATATTAAGGTCAACAGCATATTTGTCCCTTGGCTTCTCTTCCACCCTTCCTTAGAGAACTCCTTTCATCTCTTTTAATTCTTTATTCTGATATTTACTTGTATGTTTCTGAATACCATACTGTCAATTGTATCTCTTGACTAATCAAATACTGACATTATTTGTTGGGTTCCAATTATAGAAGAGGAAGTTTGTTAGCTAGTTTTTAGCTCCTTACCCTTCTTCAAAGGAACCATGGTGGTGCTGTGCATTAGGCATTGGGCTGCTAACTGCAAAGTTGGCAGTTCAAATCCTCCAGTCTGCCCTCAGGAGAAAGATGAGACTGTCTCCTCCCATAAACATTTACTGTCTCAGAAATCCTATGTACGGTTGCTATGAGTAGGAATCTATTTGATGACAGTAGGTTTTTCTTGTTGCTGTTTTACTCTGTTTCATACCTTCAATATAGTGATGTCACAGTTTTTAGTTAAATCCATATTCAGTATTTTTAAGTGTACTTATTTAAATATGCACCACTGGTCTGTCAGTTTGTCGCACTGTGGTGGCTTTTGTGTTGCTGTGATGTTGGAAGCTATGCTACCAATATTTTAAATACCAGAAGGTCATCCATGGTGGACAGATTTCAGCTAAGTTTCCAGGCTAAGACAGACTTGGAAGACAGAGAGGCAGTCTACTTCTGAATTATTAGTCACTGAAAACCCTATGAATATTAGTGAAGCATTTAGCTAGCACCAGAATATTGAATACTGAAACATGATGAATACCACCAAAATATTGTCAGATATAGTGCCAGAAGATGAACTGCTCAGGTTGGAAGGAACTCAAAATACAACTATGGAAGAGCTGCCTCCTCAAAGTAGAGTTGACTGTGATGATGTGTAAAGCTTTCTGAACCTTCATTTGTTGATAGGGCACAACTCAAAATGAGGAGAAACAACCATAAACATCCATTAATAATTGGAACATGGAACATATGAAGTATGTTATTGTTGTTAAGTACCGTGGAGTCAGTTCCAACTCACAGTGACCCTGCACAAGGTTTTGGAAGCTGTAAATATTTATGGGAGCAGAAAGCCTTATCTTTCTCCCGCAGAACAGCTGATTGTTTCGAACTGCCAACCTTGAGGTTCGCAGCCCGGTTTGCAACCATTTGTATGAATCTAGGAAAATTGGAAATTGTCAAAAAAGAAATGGAACACATAAACATCAGTATGTTAGGCATTATGAGCTGAAATTGACTAATTAGGGCCATTTTGAATCTCACATCAGTAGTTAACTATGCCGGGATGGCAAACT